CTCATGTTTTATCCTCTTTGATAAAATTGTAAATGGGATTTTTTCTTAATTTCCCTTTCTGATATTTCATTGTTAGTGTATAGAAATGCAAAGGGTTTTTACATATTGATTTTATATCCTGCAATTTTACTGAACTTGTTTATTACAGTTTTTTGGCAGAGTTTTCTATACACAGTATCATACCTCCGCAAATACAAACATTTTTACTTCTTTCTTTCTAATCTGAGTACCTTTTACTTGTTTTTTGTTTTGTTTTGTTTTTTTGCTTGAATTTTCTGGTTATGACTGAGTATTATGCCAAATAAAAGTGGTGAGATTGGTTCTTTGAATATGGGGGACATATTTTTATTGTTCATTTTATTAACATGGTATATCACACTGATTGAATTGTGGATGTTGAACCATCCTTGCATCACTGAAAATAATCCCAGGTGATTAAGGTCTATGATTCTTTAATGTACCACTGAATTAAGTTCAGTTTGGCTTATTGAGGATTTTTGCATCTGTGTTCATCAAGGATACTGGCTTGTAATTTTCTTTTCTTATAGTATCAAGTTTTGGTATCCGGGTAATCCTTGCCTTATAAAGTAGCTTTAGAAGAGTTCCCTCCTCTCTGGTTTTTTTGGAAGAGTTTGAGAAGAACTGACACGAATTGTATTTTAAATGTTTGCTGGAATTTACCAGTGAAGTCATCTGGTTCTGAACTTTCTTGGGAGGTTTTTGATTACTGACTCAATCTCCTTATTAGTAATTGGACTATTCAGATTTTCTATTTCTTCATGATTGATAGGTTATAAATTTCTAGAAATTTAACTATGTCTTCTAGGTTGTCCAATTTGATGGTGAATACCTGTTCATAGTAGTCTCTTATGAACCTCTGTATTTCTGTGATAGTAGTCACGACCCCCCACCTCCAGTATATCTAGCTAAAAGCTGATCTATTTTGTTTGTTTTTCAAAAACCAGCTCTTTGTATCTTTGATATTTTCTGTTGTTATTTTAGTCTCTATTTCATTTATTTGTGCTCTTTGTCTTTTCCATTCTTCTACTAATTTTATGCTTAGTTTGTTCTTCTACTAGTTCTGTAAGATGTAACATTAGCTTGTTTATTTGAGTTTCCTGTGTGTGCGTTTTTTTTTCAAATTGAATAAAAGAGTCTTTAAATCCTATAGTGCTTTACAATTTTCAAAAGTACCAAACACATAATTTCATATAATGCTAAAGTAGCCCTTTTTCTACCCTATCCCTATACTGCCACTCCTCCCTTCCCTCTCTCAGCTGGTAACCACTAGGTTATTCTCTATATGTGTGAGTCTGCTTTTTTTTTGTTGTTTGTTTTATTCATTAGTGTGTTGTATTTTTTAGATTCTGCATATAAGTAATATCATACAGCATTTATCTTTCTCTGTCTGACTTATTCCATTCACCATAATGCCCTCCAATTCTATATTGCTGCAAATGGAAAAATTTCATCTTTTGTTATGGCTGAGTGGCATTCTAGTGTGTGTATGTGTGTGTGTGTGTGTGTGTGTGTGTGTGTGTGTGTGTGTATGTGTGTGTGTTCCACTGTATGTATGCCACATCTTTATCCATTCATCTGCTGATGGACACTTAGATTGCTTCTATGCCTTGGCAATTATAAATAATGCTGTTATGAACATTGGGGTGCAAGTATCTTTTCAAATTAATTTTTGGATACATATATACCCAGAAGTGGAACTGCTGGGTCATATGGTAGTTCTATTTTAGTTTTCTGAGAAACCTCCATATTGTTTTACACACCAATTCACATTCTGACTAACAGTGTACGAGGGTTTCTTTTCTCCCACATCCTCACCAACATGTATTTGTGTTCTTTTTGATGACAGCCATTCTGACTAGTGTGAGATGATATCTCATTGTGGTTTTGATTTACATTTCCTTGATGATTAGTGATGTTGAGCATCGTTTTTTGTGCCTTTTGGCCATCTGCATTTCCTTTTTGGAAAAATGTCTATTCATTTCTTATGCCATTTTTAAATTGGGTTGTTGGTTGTTTTGATGTTGAGTTGTATGAGCTGTTTATATGTGTTGGATATTAACCCCTTATCAGTCATATCACTTGCAAATATCTTCTCCTATTCAGTAGATTGTCTTTTCATTTTGTTAATGGTTTCCTTTGCTGTACATAAGCTTTTACATTTAATTAAGCCCCATTTGTTTATTTTTATTTTTGTTTTCTATGCTTTAGGAGATGGGTCCAAAAAAATATTGCTGCAATTTAAGTCAAATAGTGTTCTGCCTATGTTTTTCTCTAGTTTTATAATATTTGGTCTTACATTTAGGTCTTTTATCCATTTTGAGTTTATTTTTGTATATGGTGTTAGAGAATGTTCTATTTTCATTCTTTAACATGTAGCTGTCCAATTTTCCCAGCACCATTTCTTAAAGAAACTATCTTTTCTCCATTGTACATTCTTGTTTCCTTTGTCCTAGATTAACTGACCATAAGTGTGTGGGTTTATTTTGGGGCTGTCTATTCTGTTCCATTTATCTATGTATCTGCTTTTGTGCCAGTACCATGCTGTTTTGATTGCTGTAGCTTTGTAGTATAGTCTGAGGTCATAGAGCATGATTTCTCCAGCTCTGTTCTTTTTTCTCAGGATTGGTTTGGTTATTTGGGGTCTTCTGTGTTTCTATACAAATTTTAAAATTACTTGTTTTATATTTGTGAAAAAATGCCACTGGCATTTTGATAGGGATTGCACTGAATCTGTAGATTGCTTTAAGTAGTATATTCATTTTAACAGTATTAATTCTTCCAATCCAAGAACATGGTGTATCTTTCCATCTGTCAGTGTCATCTTCAATTTCTCTCATCACTGTCTTACCATTTTTTGAGCACAGGCCTTTTATCTCCTTAGGTAGGTTTACTCCTAGTTATTTTATTCTTTTTGATGTGACGTAATGAGGATTGTTTCCTTAATTTCTCTTCCTAATAGTCTCTTGTTAATGTACAGAAATGCAACAGATTTCTGTGTATTAATTTTGTATCCTGCAACTTTACCAAATTGATTGATGAGCTCTAGTAATTTTCTGGTGATGTCTTTAGGAACTTCTGTGCACAGCATTATGTCATTTGCAGTGACAGTTATACTTCTTCCTTTACAATTTGGATTCCTTTTATTTCTTTTTCTTCTCTGGCTGCTGTAGCTAGGATTTCCAAAACTATTTTGCATAAATGTAGCAAGAATGGACATCCTTGAGTTTTCCTTTTCTTAATGTAAGTTAATGTAAGTGTTTATCACTTTGAACTTCCTTCTTAGAACTGCTTTAGTATACTGGATTAGGGCTAATTTTTATCTTCTTTTTACTTTTATATATGTACCAAACTTTGTAACAAAACATATTACTTTTATATAAAAATACTTGCAATTCATTATAGGGTAAAAGTCTTAAATAAAATGGGAATGAGTACAAGAAGAGACCACTTTGGGAAAGGATACATGTTATTCTAAGCTGATATAAAGGACTTTAAAAGTTTAACATATTTTAAGCCAAGAATGATTTGAGAGCATCAGCATGCACATACAACTTACACAGACAGAAAGAACAAGAAGAGGATAAAGAAATATACACCTTACTATAAAGGAATGATTCTATCAAGGATTTGTCCTCCTTTTCAATTTTGAGATCTGAACATAGGTATCACAGATGAACCAAGTAAGTGCTCCAGTGTTTCCCAGCAGTTGCACAGTTCTTTCCAAGTCAACCGACAGCTTGTAGCGAGAGAAGCACAGGAGAGACAGGAGAAAAGGCAGCTTGACTGAGACAGAAAACAAATTGCCTGATTCCATTTATTTTTCCTACAAGTCAATCGTGAACAACCATACAAGTGATCTCAAGTATGGCTTTTGAAATTGCAAAGCTGATCCATTACTGAATAGGGAGATACATCTAGTTATGGGCACCAGCATATATTAAATGAAGTATACAAAAACAAATGTAATAGAAGAGAGAACAGCATATATTGCAAGTAGCCAGGGCAAGAACTGCTTCAACTTCTGTTTGTTTCATTTGTACATTTATACCTGTGGAAAATCACTCATAAATGTAAAATTTATTTCTTATTATAGATTGTGGTAAAAAAAAAAAGTGAGATGCCTTCAACTCTAAGTTTAATCATTCTAATTTTGCTACTCCAACAAATTTAATGAATATCAGGAAGTAGGGAGGTAGGTAGGTAAGAAAGAAAACAAGAGAAGAAAAAAGAAAAGAGCTATGGATACAGTGTTCAGCAAGAGAAAAGTGCTACAAGTCTGCTGGTGGGAAAACATTTTTGAAGCCCCCATGCAAACTCAGTTAAAAGAGAAAGATAACAATGAGTTAGAGAAGATTGGAATCTTCTGGTGGATAGATACAGGAAATGGAAAGAAACTGATCAGAGAAGTCTGAGTAACTGCATTCAAGGGCAACATTATTCCCTGAAGGGGCCTACAATATAAATCAAGCAGAAGTGTATAAACACACATATACACATACAAACACACATGCACACACACACAATTTTTTTTATACACAAACCTATGCAAGACATTACTATAATAAGTGTATTATGAAATGAATGTTTATCTCCTCCCTAAAACTCGTATGTTGAAATCTTAATTCCCATTGTATGAGGAGCGAGGCTTTTGGGAAGGCTTTAGATCAAGAGGATGCAGCCCTCATGAATGGGATTAGTGCCCTTAAAGAAGAGACCTCAGAGAGCCCTCTCATTCCTGAAACCATGTGAGGATACAGCAAGAAGACATCCATCTATGAAACAAGTGGGTCCTCAACAGACACCAAATCTGTTGGCACCCTGATCTTAGACTTCCCAGCCTCTGAAACTGTGAAAAAATAAATTTCTGTTATTTATAAGTCACCCTTATGGTATTTTTGTTACAGAGGCCCCAGTCGACTAAGACAGGTATTAATAGCACTGAATTTTGAAATGCATGTTTTGAATAAATATATGCTTACCTTTCAGGAAAACTTCACTGATCTACTTATCAAACTGACACTTGAAAATGCATGCTCTTGTTCTGGGGCCCAGACAACTGTAGGCTCTGGGCAGCAGAGTTCTCCAGATAAAGTCTTAGTTGGCCGAGAGGGAGCAAAGAAGAATCAAGAACTAGAGGTCAGCTGAGTTCTCCCTCAGCTGAGCTCCTGGAAAAACAGAGAGTACCTAGAAAAATAAAGAAAGAAAATAACTTCAAATATTCCTGTCTCCAAACAAAAGAATCCTAAACCAACACAAAAACATAAAGAGCAGGCTGAAAAAATTTATGTCATAATATTTTAGGCTCTTAGAGGGCAAATGTTAGCCTACTTCTTAATCACTCTTTCCACCATTTATTTTACCTCCTGGAAGAAAGAAATTCATTTTATAATACCTACAACAAAAAGCATTATAATACAAAAAAAAAATCTAAAACTCCTCAACACAAAACAAATCACCTGTAATAAGTTTGTTTCATTGAAATGAAATGGAAGTGCTCAAATAAGGAATACACTATTCTCATACACAGTAAAATAATACCAAGTATCAAAATCACATAAAGTAAGAAATGGAAATTAGACATTTGAAGACAAATGTGAAAAAAATTCCACTGAAAATGGATTCCAAAGCATTAATAAAACATAAAATTAGAATACAGATGTATCAGTGTGGCAAGTAAATATTATTTGTAAATTAAAAATTAATTTCCATAGCTTTTTTTCCTGGAGAAAAAGAAAAACATGTATCACCTTTACTAATATACTTTAATATACTTTCACAAATTATATCTGACATAGATATATTTCTACATAAAATCTGGAAGAATGAAAACTGAATTTCTTCAATAACCATACAGTTTAAGTAAAGAAACTCTTAATAATAATAAATTACTAAATATATTAGTATCATTCCTTTCTAGATTTCATTCTGTATTAGTTTACTTTACTCACAATAAAGGACAACAGCAGTTGGGTAATATAATGTAAAATATAAATCAGAAACACAGAACTGAAAAAAATTATGATAATAGATGTAACTGAAACCTACTGGGAGTCAAAAGAAATTACTTAAAACACATTTTAGTATCATGTGCTACTAAATCAAATAACAAAGTACAATTTCTAAAGACTACAAGTGAGTGTAGCATTGATCTCTAGACAGATTTCCAGAAACTGATTATGTCCCTGTACAAAATATAGTTCATGTTTTGTTTGTTTGTTTGATAAAGGGAATGATTTATTACATTCTGATATAGCATTTCCTTATTTTAACTTTCAATCTTATCTGAAAAGTTACAAACAACATGTTTCTAAATTATATAATATATGTATGGAAAATATCTAGATATTGTCAGCAGCTCCTTGGACAGCAATACAGTCACAAGGTTTTTCGGCACAGCTTAACTAAAAATTGCTACACCGCTAAAATAAAGCATGTCTCTATTTCTCAACTTTCCCCTGTATAAATAAAGACCATTTTTATTCTATGTATGGCCCTTCAGAGTGAAAGCCATTCAAACATCTTTCAACTATTACAACATATGTGTATTTGCTGAGTGTGGAACACAATACAGACTGTCATACTACCGTGTAAGTACTATTCAGAGAATGACGGCTATTTCTTAAGGTACAACAGTAACCAAAGAAAACACAACACTACCATCAGTGTCCTGAGTAGTTGTAATTTGTCTTGTTTCCAAATACACACTTTACAATCTTACATTTCTTCTAACTGTTGGGATCATAATTTAATTTCTTGTCCTGACAGGACATGTTCAATAAAAGATTTCACTGACATACTATCAAAGAAACCAAGAAGGAAGGAACAAGACTGTGGGAAGAAAGAGGAAATACACAAGACAGTCTGTGCAGTAAGAGTGTATGTAACACCTAGACTTGCTCAGCAATCCACACATAGAAGGAGTGTTTACCACAGTCTCACTGAAAGGATATACCAGTTCTTCTTTTAGTTATGCTCTACGGAATTGCATAAACATTGAGAAATCTAGAAATAGACATACACATGCACATATAAAAATTATTGTCAGTGTATAAGTTACTGCTGCCCTGGGACTGCAATAATTTATGTAACATCTGTTTTCATATTTTTCTAATTTTTTTCCTAATTAACATGCATATTTAATGCATAAATGCTCAGACCATCTCTTTTTTCTGCTGACTGTGCCTCTTTATTTTTGAAGTTGTGCACTCCTAGGGAGAATACAGGATAGATGGAAACCAAAATCTTATTGAAAGCACTAATTTTAAAATGTAAACAACAGTACTAAACCAATTTTCAAGAAAATACTACAACCTTAAGAGTTTTCACAAGAACATTTCAATTTGCTAACAATAGTCTTAGAGTATAAACTAAGGTCCAAGTACCAAAAGGTAACATAAAAGCACAATTTCAGTATTATATTGATCTTTCCTATTTTTTCCAACTTTTATAAGAGTTGAAAACTTTTTATAACATCTCTGATTTCCTGTCTTTGTAAATTTTGGTAGCATTTAAAAATTTTTATACCTTAGGCAACTAACATAAAAAAATACATTCCATGTCGTAAACATCAAGAAGTATGCAACCAACTTTATCTTTCTTAAATTGTAAACTTCAAATACTGTCCAGATGCAAGGAAAGGGGAAAGTTTTTACTCTAAGTCATTCAAGTACAATCAACTTCTAAAAGCTCACCATCTGCACTTGGAAATTCAAAATGCAAAGTACTACTAGTCTTTATTTAAGTAAAATTAGAGGCCAATCAAACCAATGCTACAATAACAAACATTGCCAAATAACAATGCTAAACACGCCAACATGGTGACTTTGTGTGTACTTACCTCACTTTAGGAATTAACCACTTTGTATTGGATTTAATTGCCTAGTTATGTACTTTGGTCAGTCATTTAATATTTCTCATCTGCTGCCAGGGCTGTTCTAGGCCTTACAGACACTGAAATTGGCTCAGCCCTCACAGAACTCTCAATTTATTTGGGGAAACAGTCTCCAACAACCACGCGAATACATAATTAGAGACAAATGCTATTAAAAATACGGGAGATATGAGAGATTTCCCGCCATGAGATTTTGTAACAGGAGACTTGACTTAGCTCAGAGGGCAGCAAAGACCTCAAGAAAGACTGTCTGAGACGAGATCTGAAAGGGACAGGGAGCGTCCCAGAGTGGACCCGTCAAATGCAAAGGTCTAAAGCAGGTACGAGATAAGCACATAAGGTCAGAAGAGAGGAGCAGGAGGCCAGGCAGCTGGAGAGGGAGTGCCCATGAAACAAAAGGGGCAGAACAAGTCAATAAGGCAACGTTCCTGAAGGGTTTTAAATAAGGCATGACATTCAACTGTATTTTGAGAAAATATCAAATTTGGCTGAACCATGGAGTGAGGCAGGGGAGGTACAGGACAGGAGGGAGGTGACAGCAGTGGAGACTAAGGTGATGATGGTGCAGGTGAAGATGGAAAGGCAGAAGGAGACTTGGGGGTAACAATCAGCAGAATTCAGTGAAAGGTTAGAGTTTGTGGATGATGTGGCTGGATACAATTCCATCCACTGGGGGAAGGAAGGGTGCAGGTGTCGGAAGAAAGAGCCCAGGTTTAGAGTTGGACATGCCAAGGGGTTAGCAGACAGAAGTGCCCTGAGGCATTTCAGTATGCACATCTGGAGCTACAAGAAGAGTGTGGAGCTTTAAGAGGAGTCTGGGATAGCACCAAATTTAGAATTTACCAGGATATGGGTACTAAAAAAAATAACTGAAGAAAAGAGGCATATATTATTTTCCCAATGGAAAACCCCTTCACATGCCTAGTATCTTCCTAGCTACCAACCACATCAGAATAGGAAAACCTATATTTCCTTATCTGATAAACTCATTTATCCTAAAATTGGTTAACTCCATAAGGCATATTTGCCTTGCCTTAAGTTGCTGAAAAATGGTCATCATTTATTAGACTGCCTACTCTGGGACAGAACTATAAAAATATGCTGAAGCTCTCTAAAAATATGGTTCAGATGATTAATCCTCACAATAACCTTACAATTTTACAATCATCATGCCTGCTCTTCAGATGAGGACACTGAAGTTTGGGAAGGTATGAAGTCACTGGTAAAGCCAGTAAGTGACAAAGGCACACTTCCAACCCAAGGCACCCTGAACCCACAGCTCGCTAAAAAAGTATGGCTGAGAGTCTGGGCTTTATGAAAACTGTGAGCCATGTTGTACACCTGAAACTTACATAATACTGTAAATCAGAAAGAGTCTGGGCTTTAAAATCAAATCAACCTCAGTTCAAATCCTGGTCCCAGAAGACCAGTTAAGCCCTCTTACGTTTCCTCACCTATAATTCCTCCCGTGCTAGAAAGCAGTAACGTATTAGGACACATGTGAAGGCTCTGGGCTGGGCATCACCAGTAACATGACGTGTTCCTTCACCACAGGAGCGTCAGCCGAAAGAGGACTCGGAACTAAGCTTGACCCTGGTGGCTCTGGAGAGCTCCCAGCACTGGGCACGGCAGGTCATCAGGACAGCCGCCTCAGCTCACCCCTGTTCCTCCTCCACCTCGGGACCAGTAGCTTCCATTGGAAGAGAGGAAGCCAGTGTCCTAATGCTGTCAGCAGAGAATTCAGCAGCGGTTCTATAACTTCGGTGTGCGTAAAAATCACCTGAGAAGCTTCCTAAAATAGAGATTCCTAAGCAGACCCTACCAAAGATTCAGATACAGCAGTGGGACAACAAACACTTTCCATTTTCCAGGCAAGCAATTGGTAGATTATTTGTTGAACATATATAGTACTTTACTTAGTCCAATTAAGTTATACCCAACTTAAATATAAAAATTTCAAGTATGTTTTCTGAACAACTGTCAAGGTTCCTTTTTCAATAGAAAGAGGGATGATTTTTTAAAAAGCAGTTTTAACTATACACAAAATGTCTCCATCAAATTTGATTTTCCTTAATACAGATTTTACTCTTGTGATGAAAACTAAGTCATTTAGGGATTTACATGTCAAGAGACACAGGAACATTTAAGTGAGATGAATGGTTCAGAAGGAAAATTTTATTGCAAAAGTTAACCACTGGTTAAACAAAACATATTGTTGATTAGTAAAGAATCTTAAAAATATATAAGAAGGCCTAATACAGTTACAGTTCACTCCCTCCCCCAAAAGTGAAGA